AAGAATATTAAGACACGGAATACAACGAACATAACTAACTAATTAACGGCATGGAAACCTGCGAGATCTTGGCGCGCGGAGATGGTTTTGTGCATCTCGATGAGGTTCTCGCAGATGGTTGCGTAGACGGCAATTTGCTTGCGCAGAGTCTCGAGTTGTTCGTCGGTCATGACTTTGACGTAGGTGAGTTTGTTCGGCTGCCAACGCTGATTCGGCCACTCCATCACGTTCACCATTCTGCGATTTTTAGTTAGTTCGGTTATTTAATTAATCGAGAAGTGGAAACCCTAATGATGAAAGTAGGAGAACGAGAAGCAGAGGTAATTAAGAAGAGTGGAGAGAGAAAGGCAGTATTAAGTAGTATCTGACATTGATGGAGCAGAGAGCGATGCGTTGCTGTCAGACTCAGAGCCTCGGTGGCTGCCACGACTCGAAGCTGTGTCGGCGGCGTACGATGCGGGGAAGAGTATAAGAAGAAACAGAGTGAGGATAGGGTTTGTCTTATTCCGCTATTCTCAGGGGTATTATTGTCATAAGCGAAATGCGTGACCCTCGCTGGCTTTTCCATTTTGGTCAAGTGAACATTCCAGAGTTCTTTTCGAATCAAGATAATATTTAAAGATTCATTTTTCGTTGAAATTTTCCTAAAATTTAGTTTTTACGCTTTGTTACCGTAATAAACTTACATCCTTAATTAATTGTTACATAATACCCTCACAACACCGGAATAATTATGTATGGTGATTTATCATCGGATAATTATTGAGTAATAATATACTATATTTATTTATTTTCGTAGTTAAAAATCAAACTTTTAAATTTTTAAAATTATAGGATTTTAAGTTTTAGATCATTAAACCCTATTATTTATTTCTATAAAAGCGGTTTATTTAAAAGAAAAATAATGTAAAGTTGGCAAATTTTTAAAACTAACAAACTTTTTTGGGAAGTTATAGGATTAATGATGAATTGAAAAGTAAGTTGAAAGATTAATACATCAATAAATGATTTTTTTTTTTTTTGTCTTAAATAGCTACATATGTTTTTTTATATATTATAGAATAGCTTCATTTTTCTTTTGACAAGAGCCACATATGTTAAAGAACATAAAAAAGAAGTTTTTAATTCCTTATGATTTTAATTTCGATTTTTTTTTATGTTTTTCATCTATTTTTTTAATTTCAGAACTTTGTACTATTCTGCGTTGTCTTTTAAATTTCATTTACTTTTTAAATATATTATTTTCGAAGTCACTAACATTAACATTTTTGCGCAATTATATTTTATGTCATTTATATTTCCAACATTTTATTATTTGATTTCATTTTACTTTCTCATACATTTTACAAACTTTGTTATTTGCCTTCACTACAAAATTTACATTTATAATATTTTTAGCAAAGTCTTGCTTTCAACATCTTTTACAAGTTTTTTTGTGAAAAAATCTGTTGTATTACATTTAGGATGCTTTCAATAATTTTATAATTTGGTTGGAATTAGTTCATTTGATTAAAGATTGTTTCAATGTTTTTCTTACAAATTTTCTACTTGTTAAAACTAACTGAATAAGAATGGCTGTAGGATTTTCTCTGCGAAAATTGAATTCAACACCACCTGTACAAATTAGAAATTAGAGTCTTGATCACATTTGAATTAAGATTTTAACTTAATTTCGTACTCTCAAGTTAAAAAAGTTTGAATAAAAAAAGTTATAATTAATATTTGATTTTAAGTCCCACGAGTATGAAGTATATTTGTTGTTTTTGAATCATTTTGAAAAAGTCATGTACTTGAGGGTTAAATAAACAAAATATTATAAATTAAGATTTTATTTTAAGTCCCACAAACATAAAGTATATTTGTTACTTGAAAAGTCATATATTTGAGGATTAAGACACTTCTATTTAAAAAAAAAAAATCAGCATTAACAATAATATAAAAAAAATCCATGCATAAAGATAATACAAAATAGACTTCCTAGTGGTACAAGATTCAAAATCTTTCAAATCTTTAAAATAAATTATTGGTTTTAAATTTAAATGAAAAATAAATGTGATGGAAAGAATATATTTAATAAAGGTGCTCATAAGATTTTTGAAAAAAAAATTAATTATCAATGATTTTTATAGGTGTTTTTGTCTTTCATGTGTATGTTTAGATAGCTCTAATATGAAGCTTGTAGTATATCTCTTGGTTCTCAAAGTTACAATATTAGACAACTTGATATTCAATGATTTTGAATATCATGTATGAATAATCATAAATCTCTCAATTTTTCATTAAATTGATATTTTAACACAAAGTTATAAGTTTCATGTCGCATAGAATGAATTGAATAAGGTCTTACCAATATACAGTAGAGTTAATCATTTGAATGAATTTTAATGCATAAATTCTTGTTTATAAATAGTTTTTAGTCTATTTTTCGGATTAAAAAAAAGGTCTTTTTATATGAAAAAAGACAATATAAATTGTAACATTTAATTTTATTAGAATAAATCTTAATTTCCTTATTTTAAAATAATGAACAATTGCTTGAAAATGATAATGAGTTTTTTTTACTTAAAGAGAAGTCATTGTTAATAAATTGGTAAGATAATAGCTTACTCACTGATGTGTTATACATATAAATACAAAATTAATTACTGTTGAAAAGTCAAAATTGGTAGCAAGAGAAAGCAAAATCAAATTTGGAGACAGCCACCAAAATCAAATTGAATTTGGCAACAGAAATCAAAATTGGAGGCATCAAAATGTGGAGCGTTCACACTACAATCTTTCCTTATAAATAGCAAGTCCCTCCATTCATTTTGAAGGTTGATCCCAACAAAAAGCAAAAACATTTAGAGAGTTAATAGAAAAATTGAGAGAGAAACCCTTAATTCTTGGGTATAGTTGGGTTGTGGGTTGTGAGGGGTTATGAGTATTTGGAGAGAGATTGTGAGTATTTTGTAAACACCGCTTATATTTTCCTTTTCAATAAAATATTTGCAGCAGCTCGGAGACGTAGGCAGAGTTAGCCGAACTCCGTTATCAATTTTGTGTATGCTATTAGTCCACAGTTATTTTGTTCCATTTTCAAATCTCAGCGTGATTTTTTTTCCTAACAATTACTACCAATAATAACTAATTATAATTTATTTATTTATTAAGAGAAACACAGTATTTTTTCCTACTAATAAAGAATAAAGAATATAAAATATTTAGATCCTCAAAAATTGTCTTTACATTATAAATATAGTAATTTTAGTTTAATCTCTCAAGATTTCATTCTTTACCTTATGTTTCATTTTGATCTTAAAAAAAAATTACCACACATTAAAATATACACGTTTTAAAATAATTAATTTTGACTTAATCTTAAAGAAACTACAACACGTGTATTTGGAAGAAAACAAAAATGAGTAATAGAATTTTGCGTAAATTTTTTAAGAATTAATTATTTATACACTGCTAGTATAAATTTTTTTTTATACTAACAACCAATTATATCTTTTAATTATGTTATGTTACTATAAACACATTTATTTTTCACAATGATATGACACAATTAAAAAATATGATTGATTACCAGTGTAAAAAAATTTTACGTTAGCAATATATAGGTGATTAACTCATTTTTTAATCTATATACAACAAAACCAAATGTAACGAAAAAAGAAAAAATGAAACCAAATCCAAAATTTAGTTAAATTCATAATTATACGAGTCGAATTGATTACGTAAGTTGTGAAGGCTATGTAACTACGTAAGAACCCACATTTTGGTTTTAAAAAACTAATGGATACAAGTCGATAATCCAACAATAAGGAGAAGGTACTAGGTTGTGGTCGTGTTATGGATAATGGGGGAGTATCTTAGATCTCTAATGAAAAGAAAGAATGAGAAGCAGGACAATGAGATTGAGAATTAGAACCATAACAGCAAGACATTCACTTCACATTCACAATGACAAATACCACTACCCTCACCATGTTCATTCCAATGCCTTTGCATTTTCTCCAACCACCAACAACAATCCACAACATTGCAACCATCACCACTACTACCTTCACCTTCTTCGTTCATGCAAATACTCGAATCCTTTGCTTCAAATCCATGCCCGTTTACTTGTCTCAGGCCTCCAAGAATGCACCTTGGCACCCAATTCCATCACAAACTCATCTCTGATTCTGTGGAACTCATTGATTAGAGCCTATTCTAGACTCCATCTATTCCAGGAAGCAATAAAATTGTATCATAGAATGGTTGACATAGGGCTTGAACCTGACAAGTACACATTCACCTTTGTTTTGAAGGCTTGTACTGGTGCTTTGGACTTCCATGAGGGTGTTTCCATTCACCAAGATATAGCTTCCAGGAAGTTAGAATGGGATGTCTATATCGGGACTGGGCTTGTTGACATGTACTGCAAAATGAGTCACTTAGACAGTGCAAGAAAGGTGTTTGATAAAATGCCCTTGAAGGATGTTGCATCTTGGAATGCTATGATTTCGGGTTTATCTCAGAGCTCAAACCCTTGTGAAGCACTGGAAATATTTTGGAGGATGCAAATGGAGGGTGTGGAGCCTGATTCTGTGAGCATCTTGAACTTGGCTCCAGCTGTTTCTAGATTGGAGGATGTTGGTTCTTGCAAGTCTATTCATTGTTATGTGGTTAGGAGATGTATTTTTGGTGTAGTTTCTAATTCGTTGATTGACATGTACTCTAAATGCAATGAGGTAAAGTTGGCTCGTCAGATATTTGACCAGATGTGGGGTAAGGATGATGTCTCATGGGCAACAATGATGGCTGGATATGTACATCATAGTTGTTTCTTTGAGGTTCTTCAATTACTTGATGAAATGAAACAACATCATGTTAAGATGAATAAGGTATCTGTTGTAAATTCCCTTTTGGCGGCTGCAGAGATGAGAGATCTGGAGAAAGGGAAGGAAGTTCATGATTATGCTTTACAGCTAGGGATAATGTCAGATATCGTTGTAGCTACTCCTATTGTGAGCATGTATGCAAAATGTGGTGAGTTGAAGAAAGCCAGAGAGTTGTTTCTGAGTCTTGAAGGAAGGGATTTGATTTCTTGGTCTTCTGTTTTATTAGCTCTTGTCCAAGCTGGATATCCTGGAGAAGCTTTGTTTATGTCCCAAGAGATGCAACATGACGGTTTTGAACCAGATACAACGATTCTGACAAGTCTTGTTTCCGCATGTGCTCAAATTTCAAACACCAGATTGGGTAAGATTGTGCACTGCTATGCCATTAAAGCAGACATGGAGTCTTATATTTCAGTAGCAACAACGCTTGTCTCAATGTACACTAGATGTGAATTATTTATGAATGCTATGACGCTATTCAACAGAATGCACTATAAAGATGTTGTGGCATGGAATACTTTGATAAACGGCTTTACTAAATGTGGTGACCCACGTTTTGCCTTGGAAATGTTCCATAGATTACAATTAAGTGGGATTCAACCAGATAGTGGAACCATGGTGAGTTTGGTTTCAGCCTGTGCTCTTCTGGATGACCTAGATCTAGGAAGCTGCTTTCATGGAAATATTAAGAAGAGTGGTTTTGAAACTGACACGCATGTAAAAGTTGCTCTAATAGACATGTATGCCAAATGTGGGAGCCTATGCTCAGCTGAAAGCTTGTTTCACTTGACCAAGCATGTAAAGAATGAGGTACCTTGGAATGCGATGATTGCAGGGTACCTGTATAACAGATGTGCCGATGAAGCTATTTTCACTTTTAACCAGATGAAATTAGAAAGTGTAAGGCCCAATTTAGTCACATTTGTGACCATCCTTCCAGCTGTATCATGTTTGTCAATATTAAGAGAGGCCATGGCTTTTCATGCCTGCATAATCCGAATGGGATTTATATCTAGTACCCTTGTCGGAAACAGTCTTATAGATATGTATGCCAAGTGTGGGCAACTCAGTTATTCTGAGAAATGCTTTCATGAGATAAAAAATAAAGGCACAATCTCATGGAATGCAATGCTCTCAGGTTATGCAATGCATGGCCAAGGTGAACTTGCCCTCGCTCTTTTTTCACTTATGCAAGAGACTCATGTCGATGTTGATTCAGTTTCCTACCTCAGCGTATTATCTGCCTGCAGACATGCTGGTTTAATTCAAGAAGGAAGGGACATTTTCCAGTCAATGAATGAAAAGCACAAACTTGAACCCAACATGGAACACTATGCCTGCATGGTTGATCTTTTAGGCCGTGCCGGTTTATTTGATGAAGTTTTGAGTTTAATTAATAAAATGGCAACGGAACCTGATGCTCAAGTCTGGGGTGCCCTCCTGGGTGCATGTAAAATGCATTCCAATGTGAAATTAGGAGAGGTTACCCTCCATCACCTCCTCAAACTTGAACCAAGAAACGCGGCTCATTATGTAGTTTTGTCAGATATATATGCTCAATGTGGTAGGTGGATCGATGCTAGGAGGACAAGATCAAATATGAATGAACATGGGTTGAAGAAAAATCCCGGATATAGTTGGGTTGGAGCTCATAAACAAGGCCCATCCCTTTCTGCCAAGTGACAAATCCCAACCACTATTGATCAATAATCAACCTACTTGCACATAGAAAAAAAACTTGTTATAACATGTTTGACAAAAAGAAAAAAATATGAGCAACTTACTTTTTTCCTGCAAGGAGTTTTACATGGAAAAATATAGACTTAATTATATTTTTTATCATTCATATTTTATATTATTGCAAAATTTTCCACCAATTTTTCAAAATTTCACACATTTTATATCTTTTTAATTAATTATTTAATATCTTCAGTTGTCACAAAAATAAATAATGAGAACTATAAAAGTTGCTGGTATTCTAATAATTTCATATATACAACAAAAACACTATTCAACTAATCAACTTAATACTTTGGGTTTGCACTGTGAAAATAATAAATACAAAAAAAGAGTGCAGAATGTTGGTAAAAATAATTCAAAGTTCAAACATTTGTGTGTTGTTGTTGCTGCATCTCCAGGCCAAAAACGCCATCACCTTTAATGACATACTCACAAGAAGAATGCGGCAAATGAGGGGCAAACACAATACTCATTCTCCTCGTCTTCACAGGCTCATTTTCATCCCTCGACAAAAACACCCTCGAGTTCACGCAATGGGCCCAAGCCAGGCCCAACGCGGGGCAAACCCTCCGGCCCGACGAATAAAGCCCATTTCCCAAATTCCCAACCCTAACTTCCCCCTCGCCGATGAAATCCACCACCTGGTTCGTCACCACCACCGCCAGACCAAATCCCCGCGCCAGCCGCCGCAACCCGCCGGAGATTCGAAAAAACAGCGACGACCTCCGGCGGAGGTCGGAGCCGGTGTTATCGAAGTCGGAGCGGAAGAGAGCGGCGATGGAGTCGATGACGATTATCCGGACGGGGCGCCAGCGCGAGCGGGAGTGAAGGAGGAAGGCCTCGATGGTGGGAATCGCGTGGAGCAATTCCTCGGCGGAGTGGACGGCGCGTACGAAGACGCGGTCGCAGGGGTCGGGGCAGGGGAGGGTGGGGTTGGAGGCGCGGAAGGCGCGTGAGAGGTGGCGGAGGCGGCGGAGGGGGAAGGGGAACTCGGTGTGGATGAAGATGGCGGAGGCGGAGAGGCCGCCGCGGGAGGGGGGGAGCTGGGCGGAGAGGGCGAGTTGGAGGCAGAGTTGCGTTTTGCCGCAACCGCTTTCGCCGACGAACTCGGTGACGGAGTCGCAGGGGACACCACCGGCGAGGAAGCGATCGAGTGCGGGACAGCCCATGGTGCACTTCTGGCTTCTCATTATTATTTCGCTCGCCACTCTCTCTGATTTGAATTCCAGCGCGCGCTTTCTTTGAGACTCTTTTCCACTATAAATAGGTGTTCGCAATCGAGTACTTTATTTTAGTATTATTATATATCATGATTAACGCATGTTTCTCAAACTGGGTCCATAGCTCAGTGGTAGAGCATTTGACTGCAGATCAAGAGGTCACCGGTTCGAACCCGGTTGGGCCCTTGAGTTTTAGATGTTTTTGTTATTATTTCAAATTTTCATTTTATTTGTAACCGAAAATTGTAACCCTTGGTAAAAAGACACAAATTAGAACCTTCTCTCTTACATTACCAAATTATTGGAATTAGAGCAGAGTATGGAAAAGAAGTCATAAAATTTATTGTTCTTACCGGAAATCTGCTGTAGAGTTGATCCGCCAGGTAAGATCGGTGAGCCTCCTTCACTAGTACGCTGGTGCTCCAAGATGGGGGTGGTACCTGTAAAAGAGACTCTGATGCTAAAGTTAGGTTTGTATGAGTGTGAGTCTCGTATAAATAATGCACGTACCTGGGTGTGAATTATGGTTTTTCTAGGCCTTGGGCCCGAGATCAGTTATGACCTAATTGGATAGCGGACCTCGTCTTGGCCGAGGTCGCCCAGCGCGTATCCAAGGTCGTCTTGCGCTGTGATGTCGAGCTCGAGCTCGGTAAGACGGTACGGATAGTACACTAGCCCCCCGAGCTCCGAAGACCATAGGTCGAGGAGTTGAGACCGAGCTCGTCAAGGGGCCGTGACCTTTCGTGTACGCCTGCCTTGTGATTGCAGCGCGGTGACAAGATTGTATTTTTAGCTGTTTGATGACATGGCCTCTTTGGCCGATGTGGTATTCCGATGTCCATGTTTCATGGCCGAGTTGAGGAAATCGACAATAATGAGTTTACTACTTGGTCAGACTAGTAAACCTTTGACCGAGTCAATCGATTGGTGAGGGACAAGTCGGCAACTCGGCTGGCCAGTACACTTGCCCCCCCAAGCACCGAGTGATGTAAGAGCGAAGGGGCTTTTGAGGAGCTCCCAAATTTGTTGTTTGAAAGTTCAAATTTGACCTTGTTAAGTAGATGTGATCTTCAAGGGTCGAGCTTGACCTTGGTTAAGAAAATATGATCTCAAGGTTCGGACTCGACCTTGGCATAACAAGGTTCGAACTCGACCTTGGTTAAGGAAATGTAGTCTCAAGGTTCGGACTCGACCTTGGCATAACAAGGTTCGAACTCGACCTTGGTTAAG